TTAGATTAAAGCTGTCCTTTGGTAAACCCTTCTCCCTCATCTCCCTCCAGCTCTTTGAAAGTGAATCTCTAATTATAGGCCATGTTTGAGATTTACTAGATGAAATCAACAGCTATAGATATGACACTAGTGTTGCAAAAAATCGACACACTGTTGCCATAAAAAGCCCAATTGTTAATTGCTTCTTTGGCATCTGGCTATAACAGAAACACCCTTTTGCTGTTTAATACTAAAAGTAAATGTGGAAAGAGCATGGGGCTAGATTTAGAGGAGGCTACCTATCATCGAGGGCTTGTGATTTGGGGGCAAAATATTTTATTTCTCTCAGGTCTCAGTGTCCCTGTCTACAAAATTGAGGACATGAAACCAAATTATCACTTTCAGGTTAAAATTGCTATTCTGGGAGCTGGGGTTGTGGCTCAGTAGTAGAGCACTTGCCTGGCACATGTGAGGCACTGGGTTCGATTCTCAACACCGCATAAAAATAAACAAATAAATAAAATAAAGGTACTGTGTCCATCTACAACTTTAAATTTTTTTTTGTTTCTGGATTAGTCTTTTTTAAATTTATTTATTAACTATTTTAATTAGGTATATATGATAGCAGAATGCATTTTGATTCATTGTACACAATTGCAGCACAACTTTTCATTTCTCTGGTTGTTAAAACTTTTTAAAATTCCATTCTGAATCTTGAAAATACAGTGTACTTCTCATTCCCACCCAGCCTTTTCCCATGACTTTACTCTACAATTAACCTAATGCAATTTTACAATTTGTAATACAGTCAAGAACCACAACATTGGGCTGGGGTGTGACTCAGTGGTAGAGCACTTGCCTAGCACAAGTGAGGCACTGGGTTTGACCCTCAGCATTGCATAAAAGTAAATGAATAAAATAAAATAGTATTGTGTTCATCTAAATAAAGAGAGAGAGAGAGAGAAAGAAAGAAAGAAAACTACACATTGATTTCAGCATCTGCATGGTTTGGGCTGTGCCAGCAATCTTTTCCAATCTTTTCTGAACTGAAATTTGCTGTCAGGTCCTGCAGTTCTCAGCTGCAATCCATCTGGGTTCCATGTTGTAGGGTCTTCTTTTATTCTTGAAAAGTGTGGACCTGGGATATACAGGAAGATTCTGGGTTAGGTACCATTGCAAACTCAGAGGTTGTGGGCTGAAAACACCAGCCAGGGCTGTCCAAGGCTCAGGGCAGGAAGGGTGGAGCAGGTCAGCTCATCCAGGTGTTGCTATTTGCAGGCCTCTTGCCCAGCGGTGCTGAGGGTCAAACCCAGTGCCTCACTTGTGCTAGCACGAGGCCCCTCAGGCCATTGCCCTGGTTTCATTTCATTCCCCTGCCCTGGTGCCTGCCCATCTTGCTCTATTCACTGGGTTCTTTGTCTCCTCCAGCTCTGGGTTGCTGGGAGCCTTCTGCTTTCCTCTGCTCACTGGCTCTATGACTATCCTTTATTTCCTCAGCTGCTAACCCTGAGGACAGCCTGTGTTCTGGTCAACCATAAAGTGGAAACCATATCTTCTAAGCCTCTAGCCATGTGCAGTTAATAATACCCATTATTTGCCTCCATTGTGGAAAAATCAGTAGGCAGTTTGGGAGAGAAACATGTATCAATACTTCATTTTTTGTTACAGCTAAATAATATTCCATTGAAGGGACATACCGCGTTTTGTGTATCCAGTCTTAAGTTGATAGATCTTTGGGGGTTTTGTTTTGTTTTGTTTATTATGAATTTGAACATCCATGGACAAGTTTTTTTTTTAATATATATTTTTTAGTTGTGGATGAACCTTTATTTTTTATTTATTTATTTTTATGTGGTGCTGAGAATTGAACTCAGTGCCTCACACACAACCCCAGCCCCACAGACAAGTTTTTGTGGAGATATATGCTTTTGGTTCTCCCCAGTAGATACCTAGCAGTGGAATTGATGGGTCAAATGTCAACTCTGTTTAATATTGAGGAACTCCCTGAAATGTTTTCCAATGTTGTCACACTCTTCTACATTTCCCTTGGCAATGTATGAGAGTTCCAATTTCTGCCCATCTTTGCCAGCACTTATTGTTGTGCACATAGTATTTTAATTAGTCTTTCACTTAAATATTTACTCAATTTGGGCTAAAATTCCAATGCACCACCCACATGTGGACGATGGGTTCAAAGAGGGCTCAGTCATTTATTCAACATCTATGATGTCCGTGACCTGTGGCAATAGGATCTACTGCCCTGGAGGGCTCACAATCCAGGGGAGGTAGATGACCAAATGCCATTATAGATTGCTCACCTACTGGGCTAGGACCTGAGGCTTCTTTGGAACCTAAAGGAGGAGCTACACAGGAAAGGGTCCTTGGGGGTGGTGACACTTGAGTTCAGTCCAGAAGAAAGAAAAGGAGAGAGAGAGAGGCAGAGTAGAGGGTTGGTTGGGGAGAAGGAAGTTCAGGAAGAGAGACCAACACCTGCCTAGGAGGTTCAAGAGTTCTGGGGCTTTGAAGGACGGGGCCGCCCAGAGCTTCTGAAGGCTGGAGGGACAGCGTGGCATTGGGATGGTGGTCCAGAAAAGACCTTGGAAAGGTAAACAACAGTGTAAAGGGCCTAGTAGTCCATGCCAGGTGTTTTAACTTTCTCCTCAACTCGTGGCGCCATGGGTGGATTCTGAGAAGGGAGCGATATAGTTGGGTTCTCTTGGGGGACCAGCATGGCTGCAGAGTGGGGAACAGTAAATAGAAGGATTGAAACAAGGCTGGGAGGATAAGGCTCTGCCTCAACTTTGATGAAGGCCTGGCATTGGCCTAGTTTGGGAATTGCTCCTGGGGTTGTCCTGTGTCTCCCCCTCAGAGGAGGCTGATCCATAAGGGAAGTCAAGGGCAGCCAGAAAGCCCTCGTGAGAGGCTGGTACAAGGTGGCCCAGAGCCTCAGCCAGCTCCGAATGAGAAACCTGTCTCCGTTTGTGAGAAGCCTGCTCTGGCCCCTCAAGCCCCTGCTGAGGCACAGTCTGCCCTGAGTTACAAGGGCTGGGGCAGTCATAGCCCGTCTGATTTCCTGCTTCATCCCATCTACCTTTCTACACGGGGCCCCTAACCTCTCCTGGGAGGAGAAGCCAGCTTTTCCGCTTCACCCTGTGGCCTCTGCTGTGTGTGGGAAGCCCTTTGCCTCCCTGGGGCCTGCGTCCCCATCAACAAGGTCAGGTTGTGTTAGGGGCCCAGACCCAAGATTGTGCAGCAGACCCCACAGCAGCTTTCAGTCTTTTTTACAATAATTAAAATAATCTTATAAAAACATTTTAAACATAATTACTGGCATTTGTGCACTTTATTAGTTTACACATTCGTTTTTTAAATACCGCAGGGAGAAAAAATCCTCTAAGTACATAATCAGTAGCCAATTTCCACATGGCAATCATTGAGCAAATATTAAGTGGTTCAACATTTTTTCAGAAGTCTTTTTTTGCCTTTCTTGTTTCATTCTTATAACTGAAATTTAACACCAATCTTTTGTGTAAAACTCAGCGGATTTTCACATATTGCATCCAAATCAACATAAAATCATCCCAGAAGTTTCCCTCCTGTTCCTTTGTACTCACCCCCCGACCCCCAAACACACCAAGAGGTTACCTGTCTTCTACCTTTCATCACCATAGACAGGTTGTGCTTGTTCATGGGATTTGAATCACCCAGTGTATGTATGCTATTGCCTCTGGCTCCTTTTGTTCAGCATTTCTGTTAGAGTCATACGTGTTCTTGCATGTAGCCACCAACACTTGTTCTTTTTCATTGCTGTATAGTATTATGTCATATGAAGATACCATGGTTTATTCACCTGGTTTCCTGTTAATGAACATTTGGGCTGTTTCCAATCTTTAGCTATTATATTTTAAACTGGTGTGAATATTCTAGTATAGTCTTTTGGTGGCCATCTGCACTCATTACTCCCAGAAATTAAATTATTAGATCATAAGTAAGCATGTGCTTGGTTTTGTAAATGTTACTGAGCAATTGCCCAAAGTTGTTGAGCCATTTTTCACTCCCATCAATGCATTGGACTTTTTTTTTTTTTTTTTGGTAAAGTTTATTTGATTTATTTATGTATTTGTTTGTTTTTGGTACTAGGTATTGAACTCAGAGGCACTTAACCACTGAGCCACATCCCCAGTCCTTTTTTGTATTTTATTTAGAGACAGGATCTCTCTGAGTGGCTTAGGGCCTTGCTAAGTTGCTAAGGCTGACTTTGAACTAGGGATCCTCCTGCCTTAGCCTCCTGAGCCCCTGGGATTACAGGCAGGTGCCACCACACCCAGCTTGTAAAGTTTATTGACATTAAAATCAAGAAAAATACATAATACAATGCCTCAAACCTAACTTTATTTTTCCCCTTTTACTGGAGCTTTAACCCTGGGGTGCCTTACCACTGAGCTATATCCTCAGCCATTTTTTATTTTAAGACAGGGTCTCCTGAAGTTGCCAGGCTGGCCTAGAACTTGTAGTTCTTCTTCCTCCGGCTCACAAATCTAACTTTAAATCACTTTTTTTGGTTTTTTTTTTTTTGAAATTTTTGCCGATTAATTACCTTGTAATCCCTCCATTTTTTTAATAGAGAAATCATAATCCATCTTTCTTCTTTTCTTCCTCCCTTCTTTTCTTTTTTTTTTTTTTTTTTAATTCAGTGCTGGGGATGGAACCCAGGGCCTCATACCTGCTCCACCACTGAGCTATCCCCCAGCCCTCACACTTTTAAGTAACTGCACTGTTCATTGGTGTTTTAGTGTGTCCACACAGGTGTACAACCACCACCATCATCTAATTCAGCACATTTTCATCTTCCCCCCAAGAAATGCCAGTTCCATTAGTAGTCACCCCACATCCCTTCCTCTCCCAAGTCCCTGGCAACCACTAATCTACTTTCTGTCTCTATGGAGTTGCCTGTTCTGGACATTTCATATAGATGGTTAAATTTTTAATATATCAATTTCTATGACTTTTTTTTCCCCTAGGATCCTAAACACTTCAAGTCAGAAAAGACAGGACGGGGACAGTTAAGGGAAGGCTGGAGAGATAGTCATCAGCCCATCATGTGCTCCTACAAGCTGGTGACCGTGAAGTTCGAGGTCTGGGGGCTTCAGACCAGAGTAGAACAATTTGTGCACAAGGTAAGTGATGTAGCAGCAGTCCCTAGGCTGTGGGCAGGGTTGGTGCGGCCCTGAGCCTCAGGTCAAGAGTGTGCACTGTACAACCACTGCCGAGTGCCAGCCAGGGCAGGCACCTGCACAGCATTTTATATATGGTTTGATTTTTCCCCTCTGCTAGAAGTAGCTGCTTTATGCTTTGGCTCTCATTTAGCGGCCTCCATGTCCATTGGATGAGTTTATTTGGGAAATGGAGCTTTCAAAATGTACTTGTCACTTTAGCATTGGGCTAATCTACTTACAGGCAGAGGCCCTTGGGAAGGGGCCCCGGGGCTTTTCTGTGTCCACAGGTCCTGAGGATAATTCTACTCAGAAGATCTAGCAAATGTAGGTGCCTGAGGCAGACAATGCCTCAAGAGACCAAATGAGCCACCCCAGTGCTCCCATTGGAGTACAGTAACCTCAGCACTGCCGCTTACTGAAGAATTCTGTTACTGAAGTATTATTAACAACCTCAAAACACAGATTTCAATTGTATACTCACCTTGGCTTAACATATTAATTTTGTAGCAGAAACCTACTTGGTGATGATTTCAGTTTTCTCCTGGTTTCTAACGTGAGGTTTTTCTGCCTGGGAAAAACTCATAGGAAATGCAGTGTTGAACATTGCCCTTTGTAACTTCTCCCATTTTCATAAAAATAAATACTCCCCAAGTTGTCTCTGTATTTCAGATAGGCTGGCTATTTATTTTTCCAGTTAAAAACTGATAAACACAGCTTTACAGAATTCTGTTGGGGGCACTGGAATTTTTCCCTAAATGTACTGAGCTTGTTTCTTAGATGGATTTTTCTACTGAGTGGGGAGCCAATTGACAAGAGAAAGTTTGGTTTTGGTTTTATAGTACTGGGGATTGAACCCAGGGACACTCTACCACTGAACTACATCCCTAGCTCTTTGTATTTTTTTATGTTGAAACAGGGCATTGCTAAATTGCTTAGGGCCTCATTAAGTTGCTGAGGCTAGCATTGAACTTGTGATCCTCCTTCCTCAGCCTCCCAAGTCACGGGCATTACAGGCATGTGCCCACTGTGCCTGGCCTCTGATAGTTTTTTAACGCAAAATGATCTCCTCTTAGTAGGGGACTGTTATATAGTGCATTTTATTTCCTTTCGCCATGAATGTTTAGATCTTACCAGGGCTCATGCATTTCTTTTCTCACAGATGACTGGCCAGTTTTGAGAATCTATGATTTTTAAAAATCCTATAAAAGGAGCTGGGGATGCAACTTGGTGGTAGAGCACTCCCTTCACATGTGTGAGGCCCTGGGTTCCATCCCCAGCACCCATAAAAGCAAACAAATAAATAAATAAATTTAAAAATTAAAAACCTATAAGGACACTGCTTTATTTACAGACATTCCATTGTCCATTTCCAAATAAAATGCAGTGTCCAGGATGCGTCCAAAACACACCTGCTCTGACTCATGAGTTGCTAATGAGTATTTGAGGTAGCATTTGCATGGGCTTAAGCGTCAGGATGCTTTTCTCTGAACACCTTTGTTTTTGCTTTTTTTTTTCCCCTAGACTCTATTCACAGTTAAGGATGGGGGGATGTTCAAAAGCAAGCCATTAGCACATTATTGAATTCACGTTTCCATCCAACAGCTGTGTTGTACTAAATGTAATAGGGTATATTTACTAGTGCCTCCATGATGTTCTTTTGATTTCCACAAATTTTACACACTCAGCACTCAGTGTGTGCATGGCTGGGTGTTGTTTCTTATGGTCCTTATGTGTTTCCCATTTCCCAGTCATAAAAGCCCCACTAGATCTTGTTTATGCAAATTCACCAAATTAAAATCCTTCATTTATTAAAACATGCATGAACCTTCCATGAGAGGTTTTTGACAGTCACTGGATTTGTTTGACAGGAAGACAGGAATGTTGGGAGGAGACTGTGGGTATCCCAGAAATGTAAAAAAAAAAAAAGCTTATTTATACAGATTGCAAAAGAGTATCATGAAATAAAAGCATGTGAACAGCAACAGTCTTGGACACATACGCAAATGGTATATTTTACTTTCCTCAGTCTTCTATTGCCAGCATGCGTCCCTGTAAGAATCAAGTTCATTCCTTTGTCTCCAATGGAGCTTACCATTCCTATTATCTTCTATTCCAATTCAGGTCTCTTATTTCATCTCTCTCAAAATAGTTGACTAAACTGTTTTTTCCCCCCTTCTACTACATGAAACTTAAGCCTAGAAGGATATTTACCTACTTGTGTGCTACACCTTGATTTACTTTTAAAAATTAACTCATTATTTAACATATTATATCAGAGAAGTGGGAAGGTCTTAACCTTGCTGGCAGGTCACTTGCTACCTAAAAAAGGGCTTTTGATTTCCAACTTTATCTTCCTGGCACCAGAGAGACAGACAAAAGTAGGAAAATAGACACTGTTCCGGATAGAGATAAACGAAAAAGAAAACCTTAGGCTGGGGCTCCCAGAGATGCATTCGAGTCACTGCTGTGTGACCGTCTTGTAGTTGTTAGTTTGTACAAACCCCTGGCTCGACTCTCAAATGCCCTGAAGTGATTAATTTACAGCAAGTGTGTGCATGCCCTAGAAAGGGACTGGGACAAGCGGGCATGATACCTGCACGTCAGCCCGCCGTTGTCATCATCTGTGGACAAAGGGATTGAAGAATCCATATTGCCAAGACTCCCAGAATTGAAAACGACTATTTTCCAGAGAGTCCCGATCCAACCTGGTATTATTTCAACCTCCTTCTTTTCCTTTCTAGGTGGTTCGAGACATCCTGCTGATTGGACATAGACAGGCTTTTGCATGGGTTGATGAGTGGTATGGTAAGTCAGTTTCCCCGAAATAACTTGTAGAACAATTTCATGACATTCAACTTGGGCTTTCAATCCCTCTGGCTTCAGCTCTTACCTAAAAGGACAACAAAGGCAGGCTCCAGCTTCCTGTATTGAAACACCATCCACCAAGCATAATAAAGATGTAATTATAGAAGCTTGGTCTAAAATAACCACAAAGATATTGACTAAGTAGGACCTTGGTATATTTGATGCATACATAGTTGATATGCAGGGCTCTACCATTCTCTGCTGGATGGATTTCAAACCCATCCTAATTTATCCCAGACTTCAAGATCAAAGCTTTCTGAAGCATCATGTCAAGTAAAAGCAATCCTTTGATTCAGAGAACACTTGAAACAATCCCTCATCAGATACATACAGCTTCTGTGAGAATTCAAGGACAGACAAAGGCATAGGTACCCGTTAATCCTAATTAAAACTATTGTTCTGACCTTTTTTCGTGATATTGGAAGGTTGAACAGGTTCTGCACATTGCCAGTAAATCAAAACAAGGTTTGCTTCATCCCAAGACGGATGGACCACCCTCCCCAAATCCTCAGCACTCTCCTTTTGTCCACACAAATCTTCTGCATTCCCAGAATCAGTCATCAGATGGCTTCTGTCCCTGGCTATAAATAGAAATGCATACGCCCAATGGGTGACTTAGGTTAGATCTGACTCTCAGATCGATTGTCTAATGAAATGCCCTCCTCTTTGGCCTTTTCCTAAGTCACATTACATTTGTTCTGAGTGTAACCTAGATTGCGTTTTGGTCCTTTTCCATCATTATTCCGCCAATTCCCTCCCTTTTCTTAGCAGAAGGCACACAATTTAAAGTAAGAGGATATGCAGGACAGAATGGGCAGACAGTGACGGTTATTAATGTTGCTAGCTGTTTCTAAGCCACATTTGAAAAGGCATGGTTCTGTCGGCTGAGGTCTTTTGCTTTGTTTTGTTTTAATCTTCCCAGATCTAGACCAATTGAAAAATAAATGTGTCTGCTTGGGTTTGTTCAAACACAGAGCACCAGTTACTCTCTCCCCACACATCTCCAGGATGCTACTTTAGGCAGCAAGTTGTCATAAGTCTTCCATAGACCTATCTGTCGGTGTTGTCTTTTTTGAGGCAGGTAGACAGAGTCTCCTCTGATGGTTAAACAAATCTTTCTGGGTGTTCTTTTTCCTGGGAAGCTTTTCTCAGATGGAACCCAGACATCAACAAAGGTTAGGAGCTTCTGGCCTCTCCTGACTTGTACTTCTCAGAGCTCATGATTTCCTTGTTACCAGCTCCAAGGGAATATCCAAAGGATATTCCAAGAATAATAGGCTTGAACTAATTGGCAAGAGGACAGGACCTGAAGGCCCAAAATCTGCCACTTTAAAGACCAAGAGACAGCCCCAGAACACCACTGAGGACTTTCCAGAAAAGGCAACATCAAAAAGAGTAGCCGGCCTCTGATCAAGAGGACAAAACAGGGCTAGGGGTGTAGCTCTGTGGTAGAGCACTTATCTAGCATGCTCAAAGCCTTGGGTTCAGTCCTCACCGCTGCCCAGAAAAAGGGGGGCTAAACACTACAAAGCTGTTAAAAAGGAAAGAGGGTTTGATTAAATACAGGATATTAGCAGGGAAAAAATCATGGGTGAGGGCTGGGATTGTGGCTCAGTGATGTAGCACTTGCCTTACGTGTGGGCCCTGGATTCCATCATCAGCACCACATAAAAATAAATAAATAAAACAAAGGTATTGCATCCATCTACAATTTAAAAAATTTTTTTTTCTTTCAAGTCATGAGTGGGGCCGGGTTGTGGCTCAGTGGTAGAGCACTTGGCTAGCATGTGTGAGGCCCTGGGTTCAATCCCCAGCACCACATAAAAATAAATAAATGAAATAAAGTTAAATAAATAAATAAATAAAGATAAAATAAAGGTATTGTGTCCATCTACAACTAAAAAGAAAAAATTTAAAAAAAAAATCATGAGTGGCTATCCAGTAAGTGAATGGCTAAGTACAGAGAATAGGGCTTATTCTTTCCTATCTCAGCTGCACCTATGGCAAGGAAGAGACTTAAAGCCATTTAGTTGAAAGAGAGAGGCTTGCCTAGCATGTGCAAGGACCTAATTTAAATCTCCAGCACTGCAAAATTGGGCAGGATGGAGAGTAAAAGGAAAAGAGAAAATTCTCAGATTTTTATAGAAGCCCAAAGCTAGAACACCAAACCAAGTGAAATGGGAGCTCTCCAGCCTGGAGACCTGCAGGACTAGAACACCTGCCTACCTGCTTAGGATGGGTTAGGTGAGGGAGGTTAACAGCTCAAGGAGTCTTATTACTCAAAAAGTCCTTTCTGTACCTGAGTGGAAAAAAATAAAATAAAAAGAGTACAGGGCTGGAATTGTGGCTCAGTGGCAACGCGCTTGCCTAGCATACATGAGGCACTGGGTTTGATCATCAGCACCACATACAAATAAATAAAATAAAGGTCCATCAACAACTAAAAAATATATATTTAAAAAAGAGTACAGGGCTGGCGTTGTGGCTCAGTGGTGGAGCACTTACCTTGCATGTGTGAGGCACTGGGTTCGATCCTCAGCACCGCATAAAAATAAATAGATAGATAGATAAATAAAATAAAGTTATTATGTCCAACTGCAACTAAAAATAAATAAATAAAAGAGTACAGACTTCAGTGGATACAGATGATCAAAGCACCTTGTTCTCCCCAGCGTGGGTCTCCACCATCTATATCCACATCCCTGGCCCCAACCATAACAAGTAGCCTTTTCACTCAGTAAGGGGTCTGAGAGCCACACCATCAATTTCACCCTAACTACCCGCAGGCACCAGCAGCCAACTGAGCTGCCAGCCAAGAGTACAGTGGCTCCTTCATTACCTAATGCAGACACTTGGGAAATCAAATGAATGGAAACAGCCCGTGCCCACCGAGTTTTCTCAGCCACTTATTCAGAGAAATGCTGAAGACTCTGGGCTTTTTAGGTAAATGTGTGTGTCTTTGTTACCAAGGCCAAGCGCATGCAGGATAACCCTGCAGTTCGGGGTACCTGAAGTTGCTTTTTCTTTCTCTGGTCTGGTCATTAGTAAACATGGAAAAGGCCTAAGGTAATGAATCCCTTGCCTATAGCTGTAATTCATAGCACTGATACTCAGTTAGGTCCCTGAGTCTTCAATATCAGCATTCCCTGGATATTAATTAGAAACCCATATTCTTAGACACTCTGCGCCCGCCCACCAGGCTAAACCTGCCAATTCAGAATCTTTGGTGGGGTATAACCCAGCAATCTGTGTTTTAACAAGCCCTCCAGATAATTCCAAACTATTGGTTTATAGCATGGGCTGTATGCCAGATTGGATTGAAAACAACAGTTTAGTTAGTTCAGTTCCAAATAGGTTAAACTGGAGAATTGTAGGTGTCTTCAGGGCCAACTGCGGGACTCTGATGCTTTGTGAGAATTAGAAAAAAAGCACCCCTTTTAAACAGATAAATTAGAAAAAGATGCTTCTTCTGGGCAGAGCCAGCAGGTGCCATGGGTTTGAGGCTGGATATCAGCCGCACTCCCTCTGCTGCTGTGTGCCGGTGCAATGCACACACCGGCCACCCTTACGCAGCAGAAGCCCTGGCTGTCTTTCTCTCTAATTAGACTCACCACCTCCAGTGCTTAATTAAGAACCAAGAAAAGAGACATTGTAGAAGATGGTGATCTTTTCTCACCCAAGGATTAATTTTACATCTTTTCTGAATTCCAGCATTTGGCTGTCACGAAACTATTTCCCTAAACAGATTTTATTCTGCCTGTGTTCATTGTGAAGTGTATCCCTTTCCATTTGGAGGAGTTGAGTTTGTCTTTCAAAGCACTGATTGGTCTTTACCCATGAGCCTTGGGTCTCTCTGCATGACTAGAACACTAATCAGAGAAGCAACAACAACGCATTTCAGGAGACGGGGTGAGAGGAGAGGTGGATAAAAATAGCCAGCCCAGCTTCACAAGAGCATGTTTTTACTTCACAAATCTGACAGTATTTTGAGAGAGGAACACTAAAGATTGCCAGAGGGAGCCTGTGACTGAGTGAAACCTAATGAATGTCTTTGAAAACCAAACTCTTCCCAGAAAGTGTGAGGGATATATGAGGAGAAGTTGGGGCTGATGTAGATGAAACAGTCCTCATGAAAGTGACTTAGCGATTGGTCTGGAGCCCCTGGAGCAGGCCTAATCATGGTGGAGCAGGCTCAAAGCAGAGACAAGCCTGCTAGAGGCTAGCTCAGCTGGTTGAATTCACTAAGCCAGCATTTTCCAATGGCCCCAGATCCCCTGAAATACAAACCTGAGCACCGTGGCTCTTGTGCAACGTTTTTGGTGTGTGTGTGTTCAGGCTCATTTTGCTAATGAGACAGCTCATAGCTTTCCAGAAGATTTTCAAAGGAATCGCTGAACCCTTCTTCTCCACCCCTAATTACAGAAAAAAATCACAACTTTATAGTTCTAGATCTTCATGGTCTGAATTACATGGAAAGGGCGTGCACCAAGCCTTTCAGTACCAACAAGTGGAGGCACCCTGAACTTTTTGTAACAAGCGTGTATTGATTCCATGATCATTTCAAAGGGTTAAACAGTGGCACTTCCCAGAGCATGGCCACCATTTTACTGGAGCTAAAGGAGTATCCAGTCTAATTCATGATTGCTAGATCCTCCCCAACACAACTACTTGTTCAGGATTTCAGTTTAAACCTAGTATGAAGAAAAAATGACCTCTATTTTAGCTGAGGAGCCAGGAAGTAGAGAGAGATCATGTTTTTAGAAAAAAGTAAAGGAAAATGTGCCGTTGAACAGGTCATTGAATTCAAGTATGAGACTTTCCTTTTTACAACTTTAGCTGCTGCAACTGTTCAGTACAGTACAGTAGAGGAGAATTTATGCTTGCAGACGCTTTGTATCAGGGCATCTGTAATATCTCTCTATGTTCAAAGACTTAGATCC